CCCAGCTTCCATTTAATAGGCGGTATTTACGAGTGCCCGCTCGTGTGCTAGGCTTCATGAGGCTCCAACTTTATCAAAATTCAAATAAAAAAATATGGACCTTTCCTGGTGCTAATAATGTATCAAAACACGCTGAGATGATTGTTGTTCGGAGTGCTAAAATGTCTTAATCTATATCTTTATCTACGTATTTTTGATAGAATCATTCCTATGTGATTATCATTGCTGATGTTATAAAATGTATGCACATTTTTTCCCACAGTGACTGACAGTGAAAGTGCCAAAGCTGTTGTGCACGGAGTTGTGAGCGGAATTTCTATGCCATTTCCAGTTCCCAATGCTGATGCTTGCCAGCACGGAAATCTCGAATGTCCCCTGCAATCTGGCCAAACGTACATTTACGAGAATGAAATTGAAATACGTAACACCTACCCTACCGTATGTGCACACTTTAGTAACCCTAACTTCATTGAATTCATGTACTGTTGAACTTTATATCAATGATAAAAATTTAAATTAGATAAAGAATCTCTTCCCCCGGCTCTGAGAACAAATTTTTAATACAAATTGGGTAGTTTACACGTTCTAACTTTATCTTATGTGTCTGAAACATAAGTCTCTCAGGAAGAGAAATATTTGGATTGAAAATTTTAAACACAGTTATAAGAATAGTAGCATCATTTATTCAGAAACTAATTAGCATATTAATAAGAATATGAAACGGCATTTAAAATGTTCTCTGAAAATCAAAATAGTCTTAGCCTAATATTTAAATAAATTTTAAAATAATTCATCACCTATTCTCTGTTTATTATTTTAGCAGACAAATATAATACGCTGGGTTTTTTTTTACCTTTTAAATCCAAATTAGCATTTTAAAATGTTGCATAAAAATTGCTTACTAATTTCAGTAGGCTTGGAAAATTTTCAAAACTGCTTAAGATTAAATTTTCAGAAAGATGGTTATTAAATTCCATTCTTCATTTTCCGCTTGCATTAATGATTCGCTTGTGTAACAAAAGATTCATCTTCTAGACTCTTATAATAAGGAAATTATAGTATATAAAATTATAGTATATAATAAGGAAATTATAGTATATAAAATGTCTCTTGCTGTCCTAGAAAGGTTCTTATTTGTGGAATCCAATTAGCCACGTTATTAAAGTATAGGTAGTTAATGTTTTAACAGTGAATTATTTATTTATTCGTAGCAGCAATGTAAGTTTTACAGACGTAAAGGAAAATAGACTTTCACTTTATTTAGGGCATGCAAATTTAACCAGAAATTTTGCTTCATTAACAACAAGACGTGGAGTTCACAACTTGACTTAGAGCAACAATTTTACTTAGATGCAAAGTTCTTCTCAAAGTTCTTTGCAAATTTTAAACCCAGAAACTTGAAATAAACAATTATTAAAGTCATGAAATACCAATTATTTTTTACCAATTATTTAAAATTCAGGTCTTTCACAGATTATCTTGGTCTGTTGTAAAAGTACCTGCAGTATACTGTTTCAGATAACCTGTATTGTATGTTAGAGTCAGTAAAGTGAATCTCGGGATGATAATATTTTAATCTATTTTAACTTTAATTAGAAGATTACCTGTAATGTATGTTATAGTCAGTAAAATGGATCATGGGATGATAAAATTTTAATCTATTTTAACTTTAATTAGAATACAATCTAAAAAAATCTATAACAAAGCGTTTTTGATGTCTTGAAATAAATATAAATTCTAAGAGGTTTATGGTACGCAAAACAGCATCTGGCTGTCTGCATATCATGTGATGCATTTATTTTCGTTTCACAAGTACCACTGGGCGGACACATCAATGTATACTATTGCTCCTTAAATTTACATAATCTTTCTTTTGTATAGTAGTATATGAAAGGATGTGTATAATAATTTTGGTTCTCTTTCAGGTTCGAGCTGATGTGAAGTATGAACTCAAAGATGCCAAAAAAGAAAATCTTGCTTGCGTGTTGCTTCCAGTAAAAGTTGTGTAATTTGTGCTATTGTGAAATAATCTTTTACAATAAAAAAGCCAATGAATTCAGCAACATAAAATGTGATTTTTGAAACTTAACTAATTAATGTATTTTAATGTGCTATTTTTAATAAATTCAATTCGATCTTTCTTATGTGTTTTTTGTTCCTAAAAACTTCTTTAGAAGTGCAGCAATTTCATAATGTATTGCTTAATTTGTTTTGGTTTGATGTGTAGTTCAGTTACGTAAGAAACTCTATACCAGAAGCATTTTTGCGTGAAATACACAGCCTGTTTGAACCCTTTTAGACGATTTTCATTGTATTTACAGATATAATTTACCTAAAGGTTTTTTTTTTAAATGTTCTGTTTGATAGCACCTATTCTTCACGATCTTTCTACACCGTAAATTCCAAGACAATAAAAATAAAGCCTTTTGTAGTATCGGAAGAAGTATATCCGATACCTCTTGAACAGTTCTCTAAGGCTGTAGGTCGACGTTTGACCAATCAGCTTTTTAAAAGTTCAGAAGCACAAAAACCCACGGGTGATATTTCAAGAGATTCAATAGGAATATGAGTGATGGTTATGACCTTTATAACAGTTTCTTCTTCCATTTCTTCCAGGAAATTAACAGTAAATTTTGAGTTGTGGCTACTTGCTTTGTCTTGATGCAGTGCTGATTGATGGCACTGTGAATTAAGAGAAGGTATTTCGTATTTACAAATTGGGAATCACATATGTTCATGATAATATGTGGTGTTGACCTTAGCAAATTTCTTCACTCTATTTACTTCACTTTATTTTTAATTTGCCGTTATGTGAAAAACCAGCAACAATCATGTATTCCTTTGAAAAACTTTCTTTAGATTATTGAACCCTGTTTCAAGATTTTTTTCTTTTCTTTGATGATAATAAACGGATCTTTTTATTGTAGTAATTTAAATGCATCCAAGATTCATCTGCTGTAAGAACATTTCTGCATTTTTGTCCGGATAAATATTTCTTATAAAAAATTTTGCAACGCATGACACTGAACGTTTTAATAATTCTGCAACTGTCCTTTAACTTGGCGTATTTTCTTTTAACATTACCTTTGCAACAATTGAACCATTCCGTTTTTCCCTTGGATATGCATTTGGAACAATTTTTCCGCTTGAAACCAAAGTTTGACGTTTGTTTTCCTTTTTTGTTGACAATATTGCCTGTCACAACTTTAGATATCGAAAAACCATGGCTTTCACAACGTTTTTTTTAGTAATAACTAGGTAAGAATAATTTTCTTCGGGAAGATCACAAACAAAGTCTTCCACCCAGCGCTTCTTTCAGAGCGCAGTTTGCATGAAAACAGAATTGTTAAATAGAAGACGATAATTTATTCTTTGAAAAATATAGTTTCACACACACACACACAAAAAAAAAAGAAAATAATAATAATAATTCTAAGCAGAAGATTTTTCTTATAGCATAGCAAAATCGTCTAAAAATGTGCAAAGAGTCTCTGTATTTATGATATCTCTTTCATTACCATAAATTTAAATATTTTTACCGTAAAAACGTATATTTCTACATAATCTCCTTTCTGTATGTTATAAACATTCAAAATGTTCAAAACATCAAAAGTTCCTTCAATAGCGTTAGTTTGCATAAGAAGCTAATTCCGTACATACATTGAAGTAATTTTCTCATTCTGAGAATTTTTTTGTGTATATAAGATGTGTACGATTTGGATGTTAACTGAAAAAACTTTGGAATCATATAAAAAAGTAACAGAATAAAGATGGCTTATCTTTCTCTCAATCCAAATCAGTTTATATTATCTTAACAAACCAACTTACTAGAGTACTAAGCAGATTTAATGCCTTGTTTCATACAATGCATTCGATGCAATGTTTCATGTTGCTTACAAAAATTTACTGCTTGCTGCCTGTGGGCTTTGGATCAGAAGGAAAGTGTAAACTTCGATGTTTAACGTGCAGTTTCACCCAATGATTATACTTTTTAATTGAATTTCAGTTCAGCAGCTTTTCATTATTAATTACCAAACAGAGCATTCGTTGACAAACATTTACAGTGTTTATGTATTTTTGTAACAGAGAGCAATTTCCTGAATTTAATAAAAAAAAAGCATTCAGAAATTCATTAATGCACATCGAATTCTTACGCAAAATTTTTGAAATGTTTTTGATTCTTAATTAGAATCATTTCATTAGACTGTTTTTGTTTTTTGTTTCATTTATCATAATTTTTTTTTCTTAAAACACATGTAGTAATATAATATATATTGTTGCGTGCGTACGGGTTCGTTATGAAATGAATGCACAAGTCCGATGAAAAATGAACAAAAATTTATTATTATCACAACAGAAATGCTTAAATTTTCTCAAATTATCATGCAGTATCACAATATCTCACAGTAGTTATCTTTTAACTACTTAAATGTACAATAGAACGTAATTCAAAACAGCTAAAGAACGCGAATCCGCGAATTCGCTATAATCAACAACGGCAGTTTTCTAAACAACAACAAACTAAGCAACTACTACAAACTGAGATGTTTTCCTCCTTTTATAAGATTTTAAAATCACGCGCTAGAATTTTCCAGCACTTTCTCGAAATCAAAAAGAGATATTTATTTATTTAATGCACGCGCTCTTGTATTTTTAATTTTTCCGGCTTAGCTTTCTTTTAATATTCGTCACGCGCTTCACTGCGCGAGAAATAAAACCATTTAATTTATAATTGAACTAACATTAGCTTTTTAAATACCAAATTCGTAACACTGCCCCCTTCCCAAGGACTGCACGTCCCGGGCAGTACAATCCCTGGACAGGAAGCTAAACTTACAACTGTGGCATAAATGCAACTGAGGCATAAACATTACATTACAATATCAAACAATAAACAATAAATGCAATAACTAACTTAAACAAATCAAATGCTATCAAATACTAAATACAAACAAAGACTAAATACAAATCAAATACTAAATGCAAAATCAAATACTAATACAAATCAAATACTAAATACAAATAAATACTAAATGCAAATCAAATACTAAATACAAATCAAATCAAATACACATTTATAAACAAAAAGGACCATGGTCTGATACTATTTACAATTATTTACATTACGTACTATGGCCATAGTAATGAGCTAACCTGTCGTAATGAACGACTTTAGGTTTAGAGTTCGAAGACTTACGAATCCGAACCATGACGTCATTTAGTCTGTTCAGCACTGTATACGGATCATCCGAAGGTGACTGTAATTTAGGACTCAGTCCTTTTCGTTGAATCGGGTTCCACAACCACACCTTGTTTCCTTTGTTGGATCTATGTCTAGTAGCTCGCGTGTCGTATCTGGTCTTCACTTTCTCCGTCGCCAAGTTGACTCGCTTTCGTGCAGAACGGTGCATCCCCTCAAACCGGGCCTGGACATTTTGGATGTGTTCCTCAGGCGATGAAGGCGCATCCGTACGGCGAGCAAACAGGCGGTCACAAGGCAGACGAAGGTCTCGACCGAAGAGCTTCTGAGATGGAGAATAGCTGGTAGTCTTGCGTTTCTTTTCGACCCTAGCATGATTTCGGCGGCTTCCCGAGCTGGGTCTTTCGGACAAGGCGTCGGCATTTCCAAGTGAGGATCTCTTCTGAGGATGGATACTCATGTCACCAGATGCTGAAAGCAGTTTGTTGTTTTTGAAGTCTAAGGAAAAATTGTATTTCCTTAAAAAGTCCAATCCGAGTATGCATGGATCTGTGATATCCGCCACATAAGCCGTGTGATGGTAGGCGGCACTTCCGAATGTGCTGTTTACGTTTAACTTCCCAGTTATGTCGATCTTATCACCAGACGCAATCTGAAGGGTAACACAGGATGGCGTCCAAATAAGTTTATCTTTAAACTGTTCAGCTAAATCTTTCCTAATGATGCTAACATTAGCTCCTGTGTCAATGATCATATCGCAAGGAACTTCCATCGATATTCCCATTAATGGACAGTCCGTTACTTGTTGCCACTCACTGTATAAATTCAGATATCTGAAGCGCTTTAAAACAAGGTTTTTCTCATTATCTGACAACCTCCGTCCTCGATATGGTCACTAATTTGTTTACTCTCGTCGTTGCTGGGAAATGGTCTTATTTTCCGCACCTCGGGGTGTTCTGCAGTTCTTCCGTATCTGGCCTTCAACTCCGCAGTTCCAGCATTTAGAATTAGATTCTTTTCACTTATGTTCCGTCTCAAGCCACTGACTTTGTCTGGTAAAATCATCTGCTTTATATTCCGTACCCTGGGGTGTTCTGCAATTCCGTCTTAGGTGACCTTCACTACCACATCTCCAAACACCTTAGAGCCACTTTCTTCTCGCTCCTACTCCGTATCAAAGCGTCGACTTGTCTGGCTAAATCATCTAAACGAGCCATCAGTTGATCCACTGGCTCATGGACTCGCACAGCTCTGACTGGGTAGCGATCTCTACTAGTTGCTTGCTGGGCTGCCTCGAACTTCATGGCGTACAACAGAGCGCTTTTTATGTCCTTTACATCCCGCCATTCGAAGAGCTTTCTGTATTTCAGGATCCCGGATGCCATGTCGATGAAATATTGCAGCGACAGGATTTCTCTTGTTTCTGTCGGGCACTCCGAAAAAGGCGTGATGTGGACAGCCTTTCAACATCCGTGGCGAGCTCCTGGAGTGTTTCGGTGGGCTTCTGCTGACGGGATTTTAATTGGAGCCTGCTGTAGTCTTTTAAACATTTCTCGCCGAAAGCGCAGCTCCAAAGCGCCGGATAGAGCTTCGAAATCTAGCCTTTGATTTTCGGGAAGCGTCTGCAGGGATATCCGCTGCGTCTGCTCTCAGAGAAGCGGCGAGATGACAGGCCTTAGCTTGGGAATCCCATCCATTCGCATCCGCAACGATAGAAAATTGTGTCCTTATACACCTGCCAGGAGGTCTTCCCATCATATGTAGGATAGTTTCAGAACGGGAACGAGCAGGCATCGGGTAAAAATTTGAAAACCATCAGAATTGTTTTCCTACCGTCGCTATGCACTTCTTTAGGCTGTCAACTTCATTGGCGACGGCAGCAGAAACCCTATCATCAATTTGTTGTTCGACGGCAGAAACAGAAACTCTCTCTTCTATAT